TAGAGCCTGCAACCAAGCCACATCACAGAGACGAGCAGTGCCACGTTCAACTGCTAAGATCCAGAGTGAAACAGGACAGTTAAGTCAATGACTTTTTAAAAGAGAGATTTTGATTTTGCTTCATTATTTTTACTGATTAATAGCCTGACTTTCCCTCCATCCCTTCTATACGGAAGCTGCTCCCTTCTTTGAGGAAAAACAGGGCCAGGAGCTGTCTCATACCAAGCTACCAGAACTGTCATTCTGCGTCCACCATGACCAAGGACCAGGATCTGCACCAGTTGTCCCTCAGACAAGAAAAGGCAAGTTATCCAGCCTGCAGATATCAATATGAGTTGTCCTACAATAAAGATTAACATCTCAGTTATAATTTAAATGAAAATGGCATATGGATCTTAAAGCCTAATGATTCAGACATAACCTCCAAGAGATTAGAAAGAGAGGCAAATATATTAGGTGCAAAGAAGAAACAAAGGAAATTCAGTGGAGACAAATTCTCTGTTACCTCTCATTCTACCCCAAGATCTGATTCGTATCTGAGGAAAGGAACAAACCACTGTTAGTAGAAAGTCAGCATGAGATTAAGAAATGTATTTGCATAGAAGTATGCTCAATATTAAGTCAACAGTGACTAAAAGATATTAAAGTGCCAATTAGCTTACTCTGTCCTCTTGCATCAGATCAGATATATCCTTATTGCACATCATGATAAACCAAGCAGACACTGGCAGCAGGAGCCCTGGTCTCTTGCCCACTGAGTACTGCTCTAGCAAAGGGCAGCTCCATCAAACTTGCCTGTCCTGCTGTTTTCACAAACCTGAGGCTTTTCCATGTCATTGTATCTCTCTGCACTTCTTTGTTAGAAAACAAAGCTCCAAGCTCACCACGTCTGTAAAGAGATAGGGAAGAAAAGCAGCTCACAGAACCCCAGTATTTTAGGATTTTGCAGGACAAACTTCAAGCAGGAGGCTCCTTTCTTAAAAATCGTAAAAATCAGGTGGTTGCTCTTCATACGATGGAGGCAGGTGCAATACATTGGTGGGGAGTAACTGCAGGACTCAGTAGTTACTCACTTCATTAAGTCTTAATTGTAATGATTTCAAGGTGCAACCCCAGCAACATAATCAGATCCCCAGGTGACAGAGGTGCAGATAATTGCAATGAGCTTTCCTCCAAAATGAAAGACCTGTCGTTTTCTCCCCAGACACTAATGGTAGAAAACAGAGTCAGAAAATGCTGTCAGCAAGAGCTGAGAGGAGCTGGGATCCAAGGAGACCCCTGGGCTACGGAGTTTGGAAAATATCATTAAGCAGATTTGCTGATTTAACTTTTATTTCCCCTTTCTAATTCTAGCTTGCTCTGAGAAGCATCCCAAGTAAATCTCCACCATCCTGTCCTCATTGGCACTTTGTTTTCTACTAAACTCTGGCAAAACCACATGCCACGCTGGCAAAACTAGAAGAGAAAGAAATGGAAGAGAGTAATCAGCACCCAGTGAGCAGTACTGCTGCTTCCTTCCACCTGCCAGCTCTGCGCTGACCCTAGCAGTCATGGGTGATGAGGATTTCATGACCCACCGCCCTTTCATTCACCAGAAGAAAATGGAGAAGTAATTGCCAGGGCACACCTGCAGCTGGGGGACAAGTCATTGCCCCGGGTCTGCTGAGTCAGAAGAACAAGCAGCCACTGAAATCAGAAAATGAGCATTCTTGTACAATCCAGAGCTGATGTCCAGGCAGGAAATAGAAATGGACTTTGGAATAAAAATCAACAATTGCACATGAATAAAAATGGGAGCAATGTTACCAGAAGCCCTTCATCCTGATGATGTCATGGTTCCCAAATGCCCTTCAGAAATGCAAATTACCTACAATGTAATAAAAAGGGCATTTTCTAGAGTGTGCAGAGCTTGCATAGTTTAATTAAGCATAAACTAGGGTGACTCTGAAAGGGAAAGTGATGTGGATTGCATTCTCTGAGTGACCTTGGAAATGCATTTAGATACTTTGTCTATAAAGCAATTAAACACACACTTCAAATTCTGTCATTTCTATTCCTTTCCTTTATTTAGAAGCATATATTCTTTTTGTTCTCCCTGATCTCACATTGATACATCTCAGTGCTTAGAAAATGTGATTTGTTTTCCTCTAGCATTTGTCTGCAGCCTCACCATCTCTGGTTTTCTAGTCCCTATTCCAGTATTTACTTATATTAAACTCCTGCTACCTGCTTTTCTTGCTTTTCACCAAACAGCAACCAAGCCATTTCATTGAAGCAGCAAAACTGGAATAAGGAGATGCCCACAGAAATCTCTCATCCCAAGACCCATCCATTCTCTCTCAACACATCCCACAGACTCTAAGAAGCCCTTTCCTTGCTGGCCTGTCAGACCGCATCACAGCCCTCTGTGAATGTTTGCAGTGTGACTCCGAGCAGCTCCTAAAGCTTCCTTTCTTCACAGATCTGCGATGTCAGGCTGTTTGCCTTTGATTTTACTGTGTGTGCTTCTGCACAGAACCATGGCCAACTTGCCGTGTAGGCAGCTGCCCACTAGGCAAAAGTTCCCAGACTAAGTTTTGCCAAACACCACTGCAGATCAGCTCAAGGCTCTGTGGCAATCGCATATAGGGGAAGGTAGTACAGGTGACTTTCAAAGGTGAACAGAAACCGACTTGCAGCTGATGTTTAGACCATGGCTAGACATTTCAGTGAAGCATGCACAAAGACCACTGACACACAACGAGATGGAATACCCAAAAGGGAGAAACCAGTCCTGGAGCAATTGCATCCCATCGTGGTATGCAAGCCCCGCTGTGGTTGTGCAGCTGTAAATTAGCAACAGAGAATGGTGCTGCTGCTGGAGGAGGAAGGGGAAAGAAAAAGAGTGATTCCTTGCATTATTAGTGACTCGATCAGTGATTGTGCTCAAAGGTTGCTTGAAATAACATGCATTCACTGTTGGTACATCTATATTTATTTTTCAGTGTCAAAGTAAATGCTGACGACTGCATAAAATTTAATCAATCTTAAGCGACCTCACAGTAAAGATGTGAAAGTCTGTGGATTAATTTTAGGGTTTGGTGCCCATCCACTCCGCATTAAGAAACCCGCTTAAGGATCTTACGTTTTGAAAACGAGGATCTCTTGTGTCTGCGGTGAGGAAAAAAGACGAAAGGAAAAAAAATGCCTCTAACGCGAATCGCGGGACGCTGCAGCAGCTGCAGTGCGCACTTGGTAACACTAGAGGGGGTGTAAGGAAAGACGGAGCAGGGAAACCAGGGGCCGGGGATGCACGTCCGACTTAGCCTGGCACAGAAACTTCGGCTAAGAGCAGAGCTAAGAGCAGAGGACGGCTTCATTCCTTTCAGGCTCTCAGACCCACACACGGCTCACGAAAGGCCCGGGCTGCTGGGAGCCGGGCGGGGCCCGGCCTGTGCGCCCGACCTCAGCTCGGGGACGCTTAAGAAACACGGCACAGCCCTGTCAGTCTCAGTAACTACATTTTATTCATGGATTAAAGAGTACATACAGTGTCAGTAGCACGGAGTACATCACCTCTTTACTAAAAAGAGCCGAATGTGCACACAGCCTTCATGTGCTCCCGCTGCAGCACTGCGTTAAACCTATGCTGACAGCAACTACTGCTCTTTACAGAATCGTGTGTATTTTAGAACACCTCAGAAGTTACCAGTGGGATGTTCTGCCATCCTGCCTCACATGAGATTTTCTCACAGCTGCAGTCCATTCTGGATATGCATAGATTATTCTCTACTTGCAACAATTGCTATTACAGAATACAGGAGACACCACTGTTGTCGCATATGAAAAGGCAGAATTTAGGTGCTTGGTTGCTTCACCCTGGGAGCAGGAAGAGCAGAGCAAGACTATGAGATGCTGTTAAGCCCTGAGGAATTTACCCTGACCCCTTTTTCCCACCAACCAGTGCTGTTCCGTCCTCTCTCTGGATCCTCTCCTCACTCTGTGCACTAACCCAGCAGCACAGGTCGCACAGCTCCTGCTCTGTCCTCGAGCGTGATGCTGAGCCCAGCTCCCCAAGCCCCCGCAGAGCCCCTCACACCCATGGCAGCCCGCCCGCAGCATTCATTTCCCCCACTTTCCTCTCCTGGTCCCATGCGAATGAGCCAAGTCTCCTGCTGATCACTTCATCCTCTTTATTAAGCCCGTCTCTGTGGAGACCGTTTTAATTTAATTCAACTTGATAGCCGAGTCTCAAATCCCCTGGACTCCCTCACAACAGTACAATCTCCTGGTATTGGATACAAAAGCACTTTCTCACCGTCCTCTTGCTTCCCCTCAAATAGAAAATATCAAGATCCAATTTCTCTAAGCCAGCTTTTAGCTCTTGGATGTGTGCCATCAATGAGTGCATAGCAGCAAGCCCTAAAAGAAAGTGCTGAGAAGTGCCCCTCCTCATCAGAATACGTGACTGTATTTAAACACATTAGACAGGAAAGAAAGAAAAAATGCCTTCCTACAATACAACTTAAAGTGCTTGTCAGCCAGTATGGCTGTATGAAGAGAGGCTTTTAAAAGCTAATGAGGAAAATGGTAAGGAGTTTCGTTCACATGAACTATTTCTTACTTTTGTGGCTTTGTTAGTTTGATCCTAAGAGAGGTATTGCTAGAATGTGGAGTGCAGAGCACCAATCAGTGCTTCAGAGGCTGTACGGGCGATACTGCCCATGTAATTAAAAATAAAACCAAAATGACCAACCATACGGGAAGAAAATAACATATAATTTAAAAACAGAGTAAAATGAATTATATCTCTGACAGGCCAATAATAACACTTTATTTCAGAGCAGCACAGCAAAACTTGGAGAAGGCTGTGATATCCCAGTCACTGTTAGGTTGTGGCTTCTCGTGGGAGCCCTTCGGCACAATCCTCATCTGCAGCACTGTTCAACCTGGATATGGGAAAACCTGCGAAAACATCTCTGGTTTTGGTAATAAACCATGTTTCACATGTCCAAGGCAAAAACGTGAAGCTCACACAGCAGAGATGGTGAGATGCTCTCAAATACGGAAGAACAAAGGAAAGCTTTGTTTGCTCTGCTTCTTTTGCTGAAGTCTCCACGGCAGAAATGCAGCAGCAAAATCCATGAGAAAATAACTTGATAAGCTACATAACATGAAAATATAAAAAAGCATAATTTATACATGGAAAAAAGAAAAAGCCTCTGTGTACAGCTGTGTTGGTTAGTATGTTAGAGAGCCTTTCCGGGAAAACAGATGCCAGCTGCTATCCTGACAGAGGCTCAGTGCATACCAGGACAGGACTGCCTTATTTAAGATGAATGAATGCCTTAGTCTGTAGCCACCCAAAATACCAAAGCAATATGGTCCGTTCACATCTTACTGTTTAACCTGCAAGACCTCCAGCAGCATGGCAACCTGGCAAAAGCCTGGAGCCACCAAGAGGAAACTCTTGCTCTTGGAGGCAGAAAACAGTCTAGCTTGGAACAGCTCCAGTTGCCCTGGTTTCAAAAGATTTGGTGATATTGAAGTCATATCTGGTCCTCAGCCAGGAGGACTCCCCAGATACAGCTTATGATGAATGAAACCTGAACTTATTGCTTGTGAGTTGTGCTGGAGGAAGAGCTCTAGAGAATAAATCATCTCACAGCGTAGAGATGAGGCACAGCATGGAGAACATGAATGTATGTTACAGATTCAGTTTAAGCTGTGTCTCATGGAAGAATAAGTCAACTGATCTCTTTGCTAATGTACCCCCGAATGTACTGGAACCATCAAGAAAAGTCTGAACTAGGTCATTCTGGAATGCCTATTAGTACACAAAGTGGACTCAATCTGCATTGTTTTCATTCATGGCACCAACCAGATCTCTTTTACTTTCTGTCCATATTAACTTGTTAAGATCACACGGTTTGGAACTGACACACCTTTATTTCCTGGCCATCCAAGTTCTCTGGGCTGAGCTATTTGCTACGTGCAATTTGTTGCTGAAACAGTGATTAAGAAAAGAAAGATAGTAACAGATTTTGACTTTCTGCTTCATCTGCAGTGAGTTAAAACCTCCAGGTCTTGTTATAAACACAAATAGATGCAGATTTTGAGAATAGGGCTCAAGTAACCAGAATAAAGCACATTCTGGAATGTTGCCATTTGCTTTTACAATTCATCAGCAACCATAAAAAACTGCCTCTAATCTTAAAACCTTTACTGAGATGTTAGTTTAAGACTCAAAAGCATTTCTGTGCTTTGGCACAGAAATGGTACGGCTTCCTTGTCCTTTTCTCTATGAGATGCTCAATTTATGGTATTTTCCTGGATAGAATTCAGATCTTTTCTAAGATATCAAAATTAATGCTAATGCACCGCACTCTCCTCTGAATGGCTGCAGGTTGCAAAATGTCTTTGAAAAAATATAAAACAGACATCTCATGCAGCAATCAAGTAAATGCACTCCCTGATTAATATGCAAGTTTTAAAAGTTCAGAAAATGTCATCATACTCCATAGGTGCACCCTGTTCTTGAAAAGGTCTCTGTTTTGCTTGTATATAAATGTCATTCTACAGGAATTTCATTCCAGCAGCTTTCATAAACTCAAGTCAATGATTATATGTTCAAATATTTGTGTGTTTCCTTTAAAACTAGAGGCAAAGAAAAAATCTCTTCGATCCGTTGACACAGCTGTGAAAGAACGTGGTGCTTGCACATAGATTTCTTTAAATAGCCTAAAGAGCTTTTTCTCACCATCCCACTGGTATATCTGGGAGAAGGTGTAGTCGCTTCCCAGGGCTAGGTAGTAATTATTCTTAAAGGAGAAAGGCTGCAGCGTCATGGCTCCTCGGGACGGAAGAGCCTGAATCTCCACAAACTGTTTGCTATTCCATTTCATAACTCTGGAGTCCCCAATGAATCTTGTGAGTGTTATGTACAGGTTGTTTTGCATCCTGAAACTCTTCACAGCCAGGACATCTTCCATGTTGGGGATTTCACCATGCAGGACAAACTTCTTTGAAGCTTTGTTCCACTGGAGTATAATGGGAACCTGTGAGCGGCTAGAGAGGATCAAATGCGATTTCCCATCTATATCAAGAAACTCAGCATCGGTGTCCCTGAACCACTCATGAAGGGACTGGTATGAGTAAAATCCTTTGTTATTCCACTTGTACACTGTTGACAAACCTGCTTTGGAGCTATCTGCTATGACAAAAAACATTTCACTGTCTATCTCAAAAAGCTCTATATCATTTGGCTTGGAAATGCGAGATACTTCAATATCCTGGAATTTGACAAACTTTGTCCAGCTCTCATCATACTTGTAAATGTGTGAGCCACCAAAGAGCTGTGCCACCACCACAAAGACTTGATCACCAACAAGAATGGCTTTACATCCCACTATGGACTGACCTAATGTCCAAAGAAAAGAGAAGCACATGTTAGCACAGTACAAAGCACCCTTTAAGCCACAGAGACATCACTGTATCACCCTCCGCTCTTTTAAATCTTCATCTCATAATCTGTCTTTTGCTATGCACTCTCAGAGCTTCTTTTCTTGCTTCCTTCCCCCCAGTAACCGGACAGATGACTTCAAATCACACCCCTCAAGGCGTGCAAGTTCCTCTTTATCCAAAACACATTTTCTTTCTCTGTCCAAATATGTGCTCCCTATTATCCAAAACAATTATTTGATCCAGTTTTTATTACTCAAAATAACAAGTTATCTCTTGACTCAGCAAGAACTTGAAATTCTTTTATTCATGAGGTATCTATATTTCTGGTTTAACCAGAAAAATGAAATATATTCTGTTTTTCTTGAAGAGTCACAGCCAGCTTTTTGCTACTGTACGTAGAAATATTGTGGATATAGCCCCTGACTGCAAGGTGAAAAAGATAAATCTAACCTTGTTGTTTGTTAAGTATTTAAGTATTCCTGAAATTTTAGATTATGTTAAACTTAGAATATTTACGACTACATCAATTTTATAATCTCAAGTCACCAGACAAAATCTGCACCAAAAGGTAATAACCAAACTGTATGAAATGATCTGTTGCAGCAAAAGAAGTCTTCTCTGAAACACAGTTTATGTAGAACCACATCTGCACAGACTTCTCTGTATTTGCTCTGCTGCAGTCATTCCAACAGACTCGTGTTGACACCATAGCTGACCCCTACCCACTGCTGTTTCACAGCTGGCCTGTGATGAACTATCATCCTTCCAGAGCCAATAATGCTGGAGGGGTAGGATTCATCTTGAATACCATAAGATATCTGCAGTGTAGACAGGAATACTTGAGCTGATCATCCAGTCTCTTTCTGTTCTAATTTAGTCGAAGAATACTCTAGCAAAGATTTTACCTAGCCTGTAGATATCTCCTTTAGGAGAGGATAGCAACATCTATTTCTCTACATGCTGAGTATAAACACAATCTCAACAACTGGTTTAGGTCCATGAGCCCACACTGTAAAGGGCTAAACTCAGACTAGTGTATAGCTAGTAGCAAAACTGCCCACAGAGTGGATAGCCTGCTCCCGAGCCCTGCAAATGCTCTTTAGGCTCCACAAAAAGCTCTTTGAATGCTTGAGTTTTCCAGCTCACTTACATTTCAGAGTACAGAGCTTAATCTGGGGCCTCCTAGGAATGCAGTAGAGTCATTTCAGAAATGAGTTTTGACACAGGTTCTGGCTATGGAGGTAGGGAAAAAGTCCTGAGGAGAAGTGTCTCTTAACTATGTCATTCACAGGAAGATGAACTTTGGAAATGACTCTCCACTTTGTTTCCTGAGCTCTTTTGGAGCTCTGCTAGCTACCTTTGGCCCATCTACTTCTTAATTAAATTCACTGGTACTTATTTGCCCTTCATCTACCAGAACACAATGAAAACCTAAGAATGCAATTTTTTTCATTTCCAAAATATCCTAACAGAAGTAGAATGTTGTTAACTTTCCCAAGTGAAACACACAGCTGACCTGAACAAGCTGGTGCTTGCTGTCTTTGCAGACACCTCAGAACACCAGATGAGAACACAGTATACTCTGCTTCCAAAACTTGAAAGTGAAAAAATAATCCATTATACAAAGCAAAGAACAGAAGGGAAGGATGCTCCATGGATAAATTTAGCCCGTAAGTTTTCAGAACCAACAGGCTGAAATAGGATGGAAAGAGGATGGTATATGACCAAGATCTAAAGACTCTGTTCCTGCTGCAGACAGTTCTCCTGAGCAGCATGCTTTAGGCAGCCCTACTTGAGCAGGGAGCTGCACCAGATGAACCAGGTGCCCCTTCCCATATCAGCCATTCTGCAATTCTGTGACCGAGCTCCATACAGCACTGCCTGTGTCATTAGGAACAGAATGGTTGTTAGCATTAGCAAGTAACCAGACATCAACACTGGCTTTTTATTTGGTAAGTAATCTGGCCAAATTCATGCAAATTCAGTGTTTTTGTAAAACATGGAGGCTTTACAGTACAGTTGTTACATTAACAGCTATGGTTTTGATGTATCTATGTTCTCTTCAGCTGTGAAATAAGCCCAGCCTGTCTAGATGCACCCTTCAGACCCATTTCCTTCTACATGCAGTAGAATATTTTTATCTTCTTTTTCTTTTTGCATGTACTTAGTAACAGCAAGGGCTCCCTTAACCTATCCTATAAGTTCCAGTGTGATTCAGGCAGTGAGTATCTGAGCTGGGCCATCATGTTATATTCACAGGAAGTATTTGTGCATCAGAACAATTTACAAGTTCAGACTGAAAAAGCCCAGTCTGTGTGCTACAGCAAGGTTAAACATGCATGTAAGAACAAGGTGCACTACTCATTCACATCCAAATATTGCACACTTTAATTGGCTAATTTCAACATTGACATAGGATGAAAACTAACTGGTCCCATCTATGAATCTCACCTTCTTTGTGAATTGCCAATAGTTCATCAACACTTAGAATCCTAGAGTTAATTACCTGTGATGTTGTCATAACTCCTGAAATTCATTTCAATATGATCCCACTCGAGCACCATGCAGTTCTCCATGCTGGGCTGTGCAATGGCTACAAACACATCATTTTTAGAGTTGAATGTATCCACTGACACTGACTGGTAGGGCAAAATCTGGTGAACAACAAAATCTAAAAAAGTACATTAAAACAGTTAGGATACATTCTTGCTGAAAATGCAAAATAAGTAGTTGCTGATTACAAACAGCAAATGAGTGATATATTCTGAATTCTATATAAGCCTAAGATGGAAGTGTCAGTGCTCACGTTAGGCATGCAGCAACAGAGGAAAGTGTCTTCTTGCTTTAAGCATCCCTAAACTGTCCTCTGAAAAGAGAGTTGTAAAGGAGATCAAACAGGTAAATAATGACAGAATTTCAATTTTCCAGCTAGGCTGGCTGGTATCCTTGAAATCAGGATACATTCAAACAGTCACATGCTGTCAAAGAGAAGACTCTTTCCCCACAGCTGGAAGTTGCTTTCCCATCAAGTCAAATGGCCTTGGTAGAATCACTTTCAAGCTGAGAGCCAGCAACTTCCAGCTGAAGTCCAATAACTTCTTAAGACATGCAAATTTAATCACTAGCAATTTGTGTTACGCTAAACCAGGCAGAAAGTGAAATAATATCTGAAGTTTGCCTGGGGATAACCCCATTTTGGCTAGACGATAGATAAAATGGTGTAATCAAAATCTCAGTTAACGTAGCGTTTTATGAGGCATTGTAAAGTAGTTTAAGCATAAAATACAACCAACCTTCAAATTACTATCCAGTGGAAAACTTAATCTAAATACTAAGACTGAGGAGTTGGAGCAACCTGTAAAGACCAGCCCAAAGTTCAAGATTTTTGCTAAACAGCCAAATGCCTGCAGATTTAGTCCTAAAATTCACATTGAGCTAAGTCAGTAGTCAGCACAGAGCCAGCCTGGGGCAAAATAAAGAAAACCCTGAATTTGATATTTGGCCCTAATAGCTTGGCAAAGTCATCATTATCAGAAAAAGAAATAAATACAGCAGAGTTGACAAAGAAAAGCCAGCACTTAGAAGGTACTTTGGTCTAGAAGGTACCAGAAGACCTGCATGGAATTTATGTGTAGATATAAGCATAAAGAAAAGGAAATGAATATTCCATTAAGATAGAGTTTCTCTGGAGAACCAGACACTGCCCTGTTTCAAGTTCCATTTGCTACATGCTTCCACCATACACTCCTTCTTTTGAAGGGCCTGAGCATTCAGGGATTTTGGTGAAATTCTAATCAAGTCCTCAATCTGGTCCCTCAGTCTGGCATGTTAAGAAATACTTGATTTTCAATTAAGAACTCTTTGTCTCTGCATGCATGAAAGCTTTTGCTCTTGAGGAGTTATGCTTCTGGAGAACAAAGACAGATGACAACCATCACACAAACACAACAGGTTCCAGAGCTGCAACAGAAACAACAGTCACTATTCTTTGAGGGACTGCTACAGACAGAGCATGGGATTGACACAGTAGTGCAAATAGGAAAACAAGAAAGTTACCTTCATTCCCACGGGAAAAACAAAAAGACTGGGGAAGACCAACAACAAATTTTGCAGAAAGTAGAAGTAAGTGATAAATCATAACAGGTACCGAAGGATGGGATAGAAACAGATGTAGTCACAGAAAATTGAAATATTTTTAAAATCTTGAGGGGAAAAAAGCATAGCTCTAACACTGAAAAAGATATCTCAACAGTTTTGAAGCACTTTGAGGAAATCTGCAAATTAAAACAGACCAGTTTGTGAGTTAAAATCCGTTGCTCGTTCAGAAATGATTCAGTGTTAACACTGCTATTTTTACTTGTACCTGTCATCGGGCCCTTTATGTCACTGGATGACTAAAAATGAGTAACTAAATCAGACATAATCAGTAAAAAACAGCAAACCAAGCTGTAAATACCAGACTAATGTGGAACATAGTTACACACTAAAGAGATGTTGACATATCAGGCTTGCCAAAAATTTAGGCCTTAAAGGCAATAGAAGTGGTAAGACTCTTTTCAAGTCACCTGAAAGTGAGTACACATTCCCTCAAGGGGGCTTATAACCAAACCACAGTGCCCCTGGATATATCTGTAGGAGAAATAAAAACAAACAAAAAAAACCCAAAGTGAAATGGATTAACCAGTTTCATGATGCAAGCTGTGAGAAATGGGAAAGACAAGATGGTACAACTGAAAGAGTTAGAAGTGCAGGTCACAGGTACTGCCAATAATTTTCACAGTAAGTGACCAAGCATTTCTTCCTCTGGATTTTCTTTAATTTGGCAGCACTTCTTTACATCTCCCTTTCTGTCACCATTGCATCAGTTAAGTAGATGCAATGAGCCAATGGAGCTGACGAGAAAACACTTTACCAAGCAAACTCCTTCATTACCACGTCCTATACTATTCATGCTGAAACACACCAGGGAATGAATGTGGGCATATTTCGTCTCCCTCCAGATCTGGGGGAAGCAAGGTCAGAGAAGGAAAAGGCAGTTGTGGCCTAACACCACAGGCCACCAGCAGGTCCGCTGGAGGGCTGCAGATTACAGCAAGGTAGCGACTGGTTCAATGCATGGGACATGATGCTGCCTGAGATGACACAGTCCTGAAGACTTACATTTATATTCTATTTGATAGTCTCTTATAGGTCGCTTCTGTATGAATACTATCCCTCTCAGATGCTCTGTAACGATGCTGGGGCCCCACTGCTTCTACACCTTCATTACAGACCTGAGCTCCAGGTTGCTGTCTGCTCCCAGGCCAAACAGGTTAGGCACAGTGTCCTTGTCTGGTTGGAAAATATCTTTTCCTATCTGAAGAGTATGTTATATCTATATGCCTGCGGCTAGAGCACAGGTGGCCTTTGAATAAAAACATTTGCTGTGCAAACCTTGCACCACATAACACCTTAGCTTCCCAGCAAAATCTACAGCACGTGATGTTACACTTATGCTCAGTGAAATTTCATTTATAGCAGACAAAGGGACTAACTTTATGGATGAATTTAGCCTGTAGCCATTTCAGTTCGTATCTAGATGTCAGCTATCTAGACACAAAGAAATGACACAGTATAGGGAGGTTAATTTAGGTCTGAGGGCCAGAAAGGTAAGACTTGTTTTCCCACACTGTCAGTGCTGTGCAATTTCTTAAACTAGACTGAAATCAAGTGAAGCTTACTTTTACACCTTATTTCTGCACCTCCATGGATTTACAGACACAGTAACCTGGGCAAAGTTCTAAGCTACACTGGTCACCTGCATTTGACATCCTTTTACGTGGCACGTTATCATGCTTTATCCCTGCTGTTCTTCTGACATGTTTTTTAATTTTTAATTCATTCTCTTTCCCTTTAAATATTGCCATTGGATTACCATTCATATCATGTCCCAAAACTTTATGTTACTAGTAATATGAAACGTCTCTACTGTCTCTCAATGATGAAAATTGATGATGATGACAGATGAAAGAACTTGAATGCCTCTGATATTACTGTATAGGAAAAAAAAAAAGGCAAAGTGCTGACATCATATACATGAAACATGAAAACAATACCTGCAGCTGATATTCTCAGTTGTATGATGTGACTACATTTAAATACAGGCAACTGCTGCTATCTGGTCATGAAATATAAGCATACCCACATGCAAGTGTCTCTTCACTTCGGTCTGCATGCTTTACATTACCTAAAATAAAAATCAAGATCCTAAACAAGACAGTACTCAGAACATTATTGGACATTTATCTCCAATTTAATGGAGTATCATAAAGAACAGCTGGCAGTATTGTTGCCACATTTGGTGATATTAAATTGTGGTCTACTGAATAAAGATAGCAGATATAGCCAAATCATTTGAACTTCTCTTCACTGCTTTCTGTGAAGCAAAAAAGATTTTAGGAAGTTCATCTGACATAACTATATGGCCTTATTCCATACAACAGAATGCATGTTGTGATGAAAATTAGGTCACTAGCAAGTCCTAATCAAGACTTTAAGAACATGGCTATTCCCAACTCTTCTCCCATTATCACTTAATCTCAGTAAAAGCTGTATTTTGGCTTCAAAATGTAATTTTCTCATTTTATGCTTGTTCTAGTACTCCACAGTATGTTACCCTTTTTCCTCTTCCTCCCACCATGTCATGCTCATAGAGGTGAAATAGTGTAATATACACCTCTGATATTTAACTATTTGTAGTGTTCTTAGAAATGTACATTCTGAATACCTGTAGTGGTGCATTCATAATCAAAACTTGTCACATCATTTAACTTCTTATCCTGATATTCTGCTGGACCAATACACAGGACATCAGAAACAGTGGAATTTGTCATCTTTAACCACAAAAACAACCACTTGGCTTTGCAGTCACACTCAAATTTATTTCCCCTTAAATCTCTAAAAAACACACAAAAATAAACATATTTGAAAAGGTTGACAGCAATATGAATTTACAGAACTGTTAGCACCTCGACATAATGAACTTAAAGTGTAACTCTGATATGATTTTGAAATGAGAGGAGGAAAGACTTCTTAACGTGCTCTTAATATCTACGCTCCTTCACTGAAGTGTTCACCCTTGAAAAAGTTTCAGTCTAGGAAATAAGCCCAGGTATAATGCTAGTAATAAAAGCACTGTGATTCATGTAAAGTCACTCCTGTTTATAAGTTTTCATAGGATTAAGACTATAGCATAATAAATCCTCACAGAGCGCTTGTCTGCTGCAAGCCTGCATCCCATCATCTACTGCTGACACAGACAAATCCCATTCCTTCACTGAACTACAGGCACCCTTGGTGAGCAGGGTGGTCTTGCTGGTATAATTTCCGTGCAGATGTAAATACAGATGTAAGGCTAGTATTTTTAGAGTCACTCCTGATGTGGAGTCTAGTCAGCTTAACTAACGTGCCTTCAACCCTATGGCAATTCTTGTGGCTTACAATCTTTAGTTGAGAGAGCCAGGCCAAAAACAGAGGAAGCTGACTAGCAGCATAGATATACATGAAAACACTGGCAATAAGACAGCAATATGCTACAACTGCATGAAAAAGTATATTTGTAAATTAATGCCTTTGACTAAAATAATCTCATGGAATACTTGCAACATTAACAGGAAAAACTATTCAGAGAAATTGCTGTCATAAAATTGTCTGTTCCACTGAAAAAAATATATATGCAAAACATTTGTTTCTCAAATCAGTGATTTGAGCAGTCATTTTGGAGAAGTCCATCAAGTAAATAATATTAAAAGGAGAAAAGACAAAACAACAAAGTGCACATTTACATACACAGCACCACACAAATGCACAAAACCACAGAGCAACAGAGTGATAATAGCAGGAGGTCAACAGAAAGATTTTCATTACTTACAGTTCAATGAGAGAATCTAAATCACTGAAGACATCCCTTGGCAGAGTTTTCAGATGGTTATTGGCCAAAGAACTAGAAACGAAAGTTAGAGCTTAGAATCATTGTTACATCATCTGTTATATCATCTTGTTGACACCTGCTAAGTCTGAACTCAGTTACAAAATGTTAATTATGGGATATTGTTCAGTCACCAGCATTGTTAATAACTACCAAGAACAGGCATGCATTCGTTATACTTATTTAAGAATGGTGGTTCCTCGAAGAATCTGAAGCTGATGCAGAAGTAAAACATATAAAGCTGTTTTATTGGATGAAATGTAACAGAGAGCAATGATTGAACACGCTGGAGAGAAAGAGGAATGTTAACTACAAGTACGTAACACCACAGTGGCACAACTGGCAGCACCCACAGGCAAGAGCTGCACTCCAGCGTGACCTGTGAACATGCACAGGCAGCTGGATGTGCTGCAGTGCTGACTGAGCAGGCATTTTTTAAAGGTCACTTCTTAATTTACAGAAGGCATATTACCAACAGTCAGAGGCGTTGGCTTGAAAACCATCTGTCTGCAAGGAAGAGTTGTGCTCCAGTACAAATTACTGAGTGTTAAATAACTTACAGGTGGGTCAGGTCTCGAAGGCCACGAAATGCATTTCTTGATATGGTTTCTATTTTGTTTCCTTCAATGAATCTAAGAAAAAAAAAGAAAAAAGAAAAAAGAAAGTACTTTAGAAGACTTCAAGTAACATTATGAGCACCATCAGTGCTTTAGCCTACGTCTGCCAAACTCTGCAGGCTCCCGCGTAGCCCCTTCAGACTTAGACAGGGGGAAGTCTCAGTGGAGTTGGTCACACTGCCTTGCCACCTTTCCTCTGGTGTACTGCAAGAAGTGAAGTGGGTAGCACAAGGGAGAGCAAGCGACACAAATACACAGTAGCAGAGGAACAAAGTGAGCAAAGCAAAAGCCATTATTTCTTTGTTGTTTAATTCTCATGGAACATGTTGTATGAGGAAAGAGACTTGGGTAGGAGAGACTTCTGAGATGGACTTAAAAGCTCAAGTCCTGCCTTCCTCAACAACAACCTAAATACTGAAATGACAGGGCAGCACAGAGGTGCCAGGGTTCTGCAAGGTGCAGATGGACACTGCTTGCAAATTCGTGCCTGAAGGGATGATGCCCACAGCCAAAGGGCTGCATGTGCAGCGCCACCTTCACACACACAGAACCAGAAAGCTCCCTGCTGCAGTCACTGCTGGGTCACATGAACCCCAGCAGTATACTGGCATTCCAAGCCCAAAGTCTGCCTACATGGCAAGACCTCTGCTGAAAGCCTTGTCTTCTTGCTGCCATGTTCCAGTACTCTCCAGCCAGGACATCGCCTCTGCAGGGCTCCTTAACACACACAAGTCGTGGTCCTGCGTGCTGGGGGAACTGATAGCCACATATCGATTGCAGGAGTATGTTGCTCATCCTGACTGTATGTCAGCATTTAGAGAAAGAGCTGACATTTGAGCATCCTGCACCTAGAGCACTTGAGGACACATCCGTAAATACATCGGTTCTGCAAAGTGGCTGCAGCCAGGTAGCCATCAAGATATTGCGTGGTACAGCTGTATCTGGACGAAGAAAGCTGCATACTGACTTCAAAAACAGTTTATGAGACAGGAGTATCTCCTTCCCCTTTACAGGCCCTTATTTGCCATCCAGAAAGACAGAGGAAAAATGCTGCGAGTCAATGTCATTTCTTGAGCGAGTCAAGAAGGGGCTGCAGCTCACAGTGGAATGCAGGAGATGACAAAAGCTCTGTTTAGGCAGAGCCAAAATCTTTCATGAGTTGACTGGTAGCCTCACTGCATGCAAAGGATGCAGATGATGAAGTACTGCATGTGAATGGAAGGTGTCAGTTATAGGTCAACCATACTCAGTTACAAGGCAGCCTGGAGACATGAATTCAATCCAAACAGCACAAAGCCACAGTGCTCCCTGACACTGTGTCCCTGTACCCTGTACACAGCCAACTTGTCAGCCAGTGTAAATAAACACTGAACACAGTGCAACAAGATGGTGGAAATCTGGGCTGGGAGTCAGTAAATTTGCTGGATTCCTTTGCAACCAAACCCAGTCTCAAAGGGCTGCTACCCTGGGAATGCCAGCAAAGCTCCCACCTTTATCAGACATTTTTTTGTCCAGACTCTGCAAACGTAGCTGGGTAGATTTAAAGGTGCATGAAATACCATCATCAGTTTTGTGAGTGCAGCGTGACACAGCACAAGAGCCGCTCCTGCTAAGGGCTATACAGGTATCTGCTGCAGCTGCTCCCCTACTGCTCTTCATTTGGAAACTGCTCGGTACGCAAAGAGCCTTGATCGTGTTCATCAGCAGCGTCTTCTTCTCTGTAAGGTCTGATCATTGGTAACTGAGAGATATGAGTTATTACAATTGTAATGATGTTACCATCTGCACAGCTGGGTGGAAAAAAGAAAAAAAAAAGGAAAGGCCACTCATTCATGTACAGTTCCCAAAAGGCAGAGGTGAGATTTGCTGCAAGAGGAAGTGCCCTGGGGACTTGGCTGGAAGGATGACCACAACCATTAACTGAGACCAGTTAGTTGCTGTTACTAAAAAAAAATTGAATCTCCAAGGCTTTACCAGTCTTAATTCTGTTCCCTGGTTTGCAATTAGCAGCCAGGGACAGAAATTGTCCATTAAATGAGATGAGGAGGAACAGAAGTCTCTTCTTTCAAACAGAGGTCTGGCCACAAATACCAGTGCAACAGCTATTGTAGTGCACGTTGTTGTGGCAAGGCTCCATTTTAGACTCATCAGCACTTCAAAGCCTAAGCAACTCATCACTGAAACAACATAAAAATATTTGCAGGGTTTTTTTCCTCCTTTTTTACCAGCATTCTGCAAATTACCTTTTTTTTTTTCCTGTAGACACATGGAAAAGAGAATGATAACTATCACTCAAAAATCTAGATGTAGCTGAATCGTGGATTCCAACATATGCCACATACAATTATCCTCTATTTCTTGGTCTGCTAATTCTACCAGTGTCTTCTTCTCCTGTATTAGGCCATTAGTCCTCAATACACCCCAACTTCATCCTACTTACCTGAAGGACTTTAGCAAGAGTCAGTTTTATGAGCATTGGTCTTCCTTTAGACAAAGGCAAATGTTTTCCACATCAACCTTTCAGCACAGAAAGGTGGGTGGAAAGATGAACTTTCTTTCAGATCATATTCAGAGTTTAGAACATAGCAGCTCGTGTCCGGTAACACAGAGAAATGGCAGTTCTTTGGAGTATGAAGTGAGGGCAACCTGGTACCAGGGCTATTACTTTTTTTAAAAGAAAAAAGGGTCACCTAAAAAAAGAAAACAAAAAAGATCGGGAAATGAAGATAACGTAAAAATCAATGGAGAAGTGAACTAAGTTCAGAAAAGGAAAGTTAAAATAAATTTAAATAATGTAAATAATTACAATAATTTATCTTATATGAAATATATATTGATATATTGATATATTCATAATTATTTATAATATAAAAAAATGAATGCCATAGGCATTAAATGGAATGTCAGAACAAAGACAAAGTTGAAGAGGAAAGTTGGGGAAAGAGGATCAGTACAGTAATCAGGGCTGTTCCAGGCAGTACACCAACGCCCTGCAACTCCTCCTCATTCTGTCAGCAGGCCACGGGAGGCTTCACCACCTCTCCTGAGATCCAAACTCCTTGAAAGTGATGGCACTGTTTTGTGAAGCCGGGACAAGCTCTTGCTCAGCAACGCTTTTTCAATGTACTGTAATTACACAGAGCCATCTTACACTCACAGCATATACTAAAAATCCACTGCAACCTCTGAAAAATTGTGAGCAACCATAAAGGACATTTGCACAGAAATAGAACATCAATCCATCATCCATCTCCCCTGCTTCTGGTAATCACAGTAAAGAGTAAGACTCCACAGCAGGAGTCTTGGTAACTTAGCAAAACACCTTGATTTATAACAGTCAGGTGAATACAAAAAACACCAAACTTACAGGTATTCTAGATGGAAGAGACCAGCGAAGGCATCATCTCGTATAATAGTAAAGGAGTTTGAGTTCAGCAAGCTGAAAACAGAGAGCAGGCAATGGGAAAGCATATTAAAAGTTGACACACTGGATTATGCCAATTGTGTTTACTGACTGTGAACAAACCCATCTTACTGACTCAAGCCCATATTGCCCCACCAATGCAGCACACATAAAATATTGTGGAATGGTCTATAAAAAATAAAAATCAAAGGCATAATGCGGTGCTAGCTAAAGTCCACCACTCCCCAGGAAATATGTTCACTGTACCATTCACCTTGGCTAAATACAGCCTAGCCCTGGATTGCTTTGTCCCCTAAGTAGGACAAGCTGTCCTTTCAGGGTAAGTCTGCTGTGTGTGGATCCCAGGTGCCCAAAACCCTCAAGCCACAACGAAAATTTTCCAGAGGCTCAGTTATTCCCAAGCTTCAAGAAGTGGTAAGCCCTTTTGTACAAGCACCAGCTTTCATTTAAGCAGTCTTGGTGGATTGGGGCTCACCTGTTTTCAGCTCACAGGAGACCTGCCTCAAGCTTGATCTGCAGTGTGGGAGGAAAGCACCCATTATGCACCACCCAATTGACAGCTGCAAATTGAGACGTGCCTGAACAGCCAGAGATAAAAAGCCACGCTGTCTCTGGGGAGCGTAACTCTGTATCTGCATGCACCAAGGAGAAGGGCTCCTGGTGCTGCATTGCCTCCTCTGGGAACTTCAGGGTCAAAATGTGATAGAGTTGCATTGAGCAGCTGTCACCTGAGCCAGGACAGCGAGGTTAGGGAGAAGGAAGCTACAGAAAAGCTTGGCCAGCAAAGCTCCTTCTTTGCTGTACGAGAGCACAAAGGAGCAGAAGACACTTCCAGTGTCTACAGTCAAGGCACAGATGGTGATCTCGTTTGAAGAAACAGCAAAACTTTTCATCCAGTCTAAAAATCAAATGTTAGTCAAAATAAATCGTTTTTAGTAAAACCTCTGAATTTTCAGCTTTAAGTGAACATGTCTGCAGTAATGGCTTCACTATAGTAACTTATTAATTCTCTTTTTATATGGTTTTAGGCATTTTACTAAAATTAATTTTTAAGACTAATGAACGCAAAATACAAATTTTCCCTGTGATTCTGAGTTATTATGTTAATACTAGACAAATCCTTCTTAAATTATTCTGTACAAATCTAAGAAAGATTCAGGCTGCAATCAAAAAGAAATCACTGCATTACTGCTTCATCATGGATACTGTGAATGAAGATTCAGTCCTGATGTACAACAGTGCTCCATGCAGTGTTTAATTTTTCATTATTTAATCATTCCTTTTCTCCTGTTTGAAGGACAAACTCCCAAATTACACTGACCAACAACATTTGTCAGGGGCTGGGATGATGATGGTAGTGGTTACAAACCCTTCGCACTGCAGCAGAAATGAAAAGGGCAACTTCTGCCTTTTTCCAGCTGACCCTGTTAGTTCAATGTTTCCTCCTGGAAATCTAATGAGAAGAAGTAACCTTCATCTGCTCTTCCTCCCTCCTCCTGCTACCACTGTCCAAACCAAAACAGATTCCCCATCTCCCATTCTGTACCCACCATTTTTCTCAAACCACTGTCAGGTTCATCTCTTTCCATCCCAAATAGCACAGGTCCTGCTATTCCCTTCCATTCCAATGCCTGGCCACCCGTTCTGTGAAGAATTCTTCCTAACATCCTACCTAAGCCTCCCCGGCGCAACCTGAGACCATTTCCTTGCATCTCATCAGTTATCACCAGAAAAAATAGACTGGCGCAGTCCTTGCTGCACCCTCCTTTCAGACAGTTGCAGAGAGCAATAAGGTCTCCCCTCATCTCCTCTTCACCAGACCCAACAGCCCCAGTTCCCTCAGTCATTCCCCATAACTTGTTTTCCAGTTCCTTCACCAGCCTCGTTGCTCTTTTGCATGCATCTGAGCAACAAAACATCCTCTTTGTAGCGAGGGGCCCAAAAATGAGCACCGTACTTGAACTGCGGCCTTAGCAATACTGCATACAAGAAGGCAGTCCCAGCCCTGCAGGCCTCCATCCCTCACCTTGCCCACCTCTCCGCAGTGTCTTTAACAAGGTGACGACCCTCCGGAACAAGGCGAGGGGGCAGAGGAGCACCAGGGCACTCCACTACCAGATGCCCTTTGGGATTACCTTTTGCCAAGACCAGTTTTAACCAATTTCTCTGTGGCAAGTGCTCAGCCTCCATTTCTGGCAAGCCATGCACCTTCTCACCTCATTTTTCCTCAGAGCACCCCTTTACTTCGGGAGTAACCCAGACCCTCCATGGTGAGGCGTACCAAGCCGGGGCTGTGCAGCTTGTACAGGCGCCCATATCTCTGTGCTGCCCTGCTCCTGCCTCCCAGGACAGCTGAATGAAAGCCCATGGGAAACACTACTCGAGCCGCAGGCACACGACTGCAGCGTGGGCACAACCACGGGACTGACCCAAGGTCACCAAGGAGCGCTGGGAGGCATTGGAGGGGCCGGCCGCCCTGGAGGCCAGGTGCCAGACCTCAGTCGTGCTGCAGGCAGCGCACACACTGCTCTCCTCGGGTGGGCACGGGGATCCTCTGTCCCCAGCAGCCACGTCCCGTGCCGCGCTGAGCCGCCCCGCAGTGTCCTGAAGGGACACGGCAGTCACCGGCACAAAACCGGGCTCACCGGCACAACCTGAGCTGGGGGACAGCGCTCACGTGGCTCCGGGGGGAAACACCGCCCTCAGCTTCTTTAAGCGGAAACTCAAAGTGGAATTTAGGACACCAGATAACACTTTTTCTCCTTTAGCGCATAACTACACGTTTTATGAACTGGTTCGCGATGCTGTAGCAATGCAGAAAATTCACGCCTGGGTTACAAACGGCGGCTGTGCCATCGAGATGCGCCGGCTCTGGCTTCACCCGCTGCCGCTCCTCCTAAAGGTGCGCCCGTAACCGCACCGAGGAGCGGCGAGCAGGGCGCTAACGAGATGCTTCGGTGCGATACTTACAGCAGCTGCAGGGAGGGCAAGTGGGAGAACATCCTGTCCTTGACTTCGGAGAAGGTCCCGTTCACCAGGCTCCTGGCGGAGGGAGAGAAAAGCCACGTTTGAGCGAGCGCGGGCCGCCGGCGGCCCCAGCGCGGCGTCCCGGCCGCGAGCACCCCGGCGTCACAGCGAGCGGCAGCGCCGGCTCCGCGCCCCGCGGACCCGCCCGCAGCCGCCGCACTCACAGCGAGCCGAGCCCGGCGGGCAGGCTGCGCGGCGCCCCGGCCGCCCCCACGCACAGCGCCGACTCTCGCCAGCAGCTGCAGGGCGGCGCGCAGCGCGGCGGCGGCCTCCGCGGGGCGGCGGGCGGCGGCGGCAGCAGCAGCGCGGCGGCCCAGAGCGCCAGGAGCCGCAGCGGGCCCGCCATGCCCGCGCCGCCGTCGCCCGCCGGCCGCCCGCCGCCGCCTCCCGCGCCCTGACATCAGCGCGGCGCCGCCCCGCGCTGCGGGCCCGCCCCCCTCGTGGGAGCAGCGGGCAGGGGCTGCGGCCGGCCCGGGGCGGGGTGCCGGCCGTGCTGCTCTGCGAGCGGGCTGTGGGGATGGGCAGCGGAGGCTGTGCTCCGAGGCAGCGGAGGTGTTAGGAATGCCTCGAGGGCTGACCCAGAAATTATTTCTCTTCTCGCAAGTTGTTGAACGAGCAAAGCGTTTGGGGTCGGAAGGATCATTTGTGCGATGTGCACTTCAGAGGATCTCAGTATGCCTGCGGGGATTATGTCATTGGCAGGCGCGTGCAAACTACGAGCCTCGCTGGGTTTTGCTGGTACAGCTGGGCTGTGGGTGCCTTATTACAAAGCAAAGCAAAGAAGCAAGCAGTACAGAAGGTGATTTTCCACTAGCAAAGTTGTGACAAGAGTTGTCCCCGTGAAACACAGCTGCTGGGGCCGTCTGGGGATGCCACTTCAGGATGACTTTGGTGTGTTCACAGAACCGCAGCATGGCTGAGGTGGAAGGGCCCTCTCTGGTCCCACCCCTGCTCCAGCAGGGACAGCAAAGCAGGGTGCCCAGGGTCGTGTCTGAGCGGCTTCTGAGGATCTCCAAGAAGATTCACAGTCTCTGGGCAACCTGTGCAACTTCTCTGCCACCTGCTCCCAGGTGTGTGCCCACTGCCTCTTGTCAAGAGGCCAAGGAGGGGCCTGGTGACAGCAGAGTGCAGCAGGAAGCCCTGTCACCTTAGTAAAAAAGAGTGATTGGTTCTGAGCACTCAGATGACAGAAGCAGGTGCATGAGAGTATAGGAATGTAAATATGCATACACTCTCACCCCCATATAAATTTCCTTGAAAGAACATTCAGAAATTTCTTGTTTTAGGAAGTGATATCTACTGTACTTGTACAGCAGCCCTACATAAAAATGAAATTCTCTCACTTCTGTGAGAAGGAAAAAGGCATTGAAACAGACCTCCAAAGAATTAGAAACAACACTGCCGAATGCTTTCTGTGGCTTTCCTTCACACCTCAGCTCATAGATGTACATGATTTGTTCTGTAGGCCTGCAGATGCATCCACCATTTAAGTCATGGCACAAGTAAGTGCAGCCAACTGCATATGAATGATTGTACAATTAGATACACATAGAAAAGACAGCATTTTAAGTGGTAACACACTCATAGCAGCATGCAGACAGTATGTAAGTGAGCTCAGTAAGAAAATTTGATCAGAGGCATGGGGTGCACAGGAGCATGCACAAGTGCAGTATGTATAAGGCCATGGTCCTCTGAGTAGTTGTGGTATGGAAAACACTGATTTCTAGCTGAGAACGGCTCTTTGTGTTACTCTGGAGTGTTATCATCAGCATTTCTACTAATGCAATGACTCCCTTTTCCAAAATCTCAGGTATATGTTGAATTACAGAGATAAATGGAATCATGTAAACATGGAGGAGCACATAAATATTAAAAAGCATATCCAGATGTAAAAGCTGTCAGCTCCATTTCCTCAAGATCAGGAAAGTGTTGCTCACACATTATCATTCCCACTTCTCAGTTCCTTTATCAAGTGTAATACGAATGCGAATCATTTTGTTGTGTTTTGCAGGTGCTGGACAGTGGACAGAAAGTTGCTGATAGACTCATACAATCATACAAGAATCATAGAATCATTCAGGTTGGAAAAGAATTCAATGATCATCTAGTCCAGCTGTCAACCCGTCACTACCACATCACTAAACCATGTCCCTCAGTGCCACAACTCCAAGGTTCTTGAACACCTCCAGAGATAGTGACTCCACCACCTCCCTGGGCAGCCTGCTCCAGTGCCCACCTACTCCTTTTAAGAAGAAATTTTTCCTAATTCTCAACATGAACCTCCCCTGGCACAACTTAAAGCCATTACCTCTCGTCCTATCACTAATTACCTGGGAAAAGAGACCGACCCCCAGTGAGGCTCACCTCGTACAAAGCAAAAAGTATAACAGGAAAGAAAGATTCCAACCTTCTGTCAGAGAAAATATAATTTCTAGGTTAATTGGCAAAGAGCAATGAGTTTTGTTGGATCATACATTGACCACCTGTCCAAAGTAAGAGATCTGAAAAAACTTTGAGTAAGAGCAAAGTATGTCAGTAAAAGTGCTCCTGCTATGAGGAGCAGGACTGCTTAATTGCTTGTGACCCTGCTGTGGCGGAAGTATGGGAAAATTAACGCTCTGAGCAATATTCATCTTGCTGAGTGTTTTCCTTTCTTCACTCATGGCTCATGTGACCTTTTTGGAGTCCAACTGTTAGAGGAGATGCACTGCAACATGCAGAGTACATTATTATTCTCTTGAATATTCTCCAGTTTTTGTACCAAATGTTTGCTCTGCTTGGTCAGGATTAAATGTCCTTCGCTTTTGCCTTCTGCAGGTTTCTGTTCTAGATCACGCACCTGGTATGTTCCTTCATTTGGCTTTTAAAGAAGTGCAAAAGCAGTTTTCTTTGCTGAAATGTAACACTACAAAGCATGCTTTCATAAACTCTTTTTAAAATTTCTCAGGAAGCAAACAGAACTGCAGCTTGCCACATCCTGCTTTGGGAGAGTTGGAAGTCTCCTGCAGTGACACCCTGCTCTCCTCCCCGGCCTCTTACTTCAGGTGTGAGGTGCATTTCAGCTTCCTGATCTCTATTGCATGTGCTATTTCTTCCCAGTCATTAAACATGTCATCACAATACGCTAAGGACACATCCAGGGTGGTTAAAGCTGCTGAAGCCAGAACCAGAACCAATTCTGAACAGATTTAGCCTTGGGATCAGATTTCCAGGCCCCAAGATTACATTCATTTCCAGTGCTTCCAGACTGGCACTGGCTTCCTTTTCCTTTGACTCTCCTGTCCTCCCCCCAACCTTGGAGACCTGCTGCGGATATGGGTACGGCCCGGCGCGAGATTTACACCCTCTCCCCCAGATTTTCGCAGAAAGCAGAACTGCTGAGCACCAGGAGCATTGTCTCTCCCAAGCCTCTCCACACTCCCTGCCACTCAGTATTCTCTAGTTTTGGGGAAGGCTTCCTCCTTCCTGTGTGCTGCCTGTGGAGGTTGCTACTCACATTTCATGCTGCTGGAGGAAGAACATTTGGTCACACGTATTGTCCTTGCTTGCATGTTCTCCACAAGGCCACTAAACATGGGTCCATTGTGGCTCCAAACCCCCAGCCCTGGGAAAGATGCTGTGGAGCAGGCAGAGAAAGCAGGGGCTCCCAGTTACCTTCAGCTATGGGTCTACCAGGCAATAGTCCTTCTGCAGAAAATGCCTTCATATGTGAGTGAGCAGCATGGTTCTTTCTCCCTGCCCATCCCTCAGCTGGGATTGATGGCATCTCTTCTTCCCCCAGCTGCTGGTGGTAACTCAGGATCTCTGTGTCCTTTGCCTTTTTCTAAAAACTTTCAAAAGTTATCAGCAGTTATCCAGAGGTTCTGGCAGGCAGACTCAGATGCAAGTAGACAATGAAGTAACAGAAATCTCATTTATTAATGGCACTGGACAAAAGAAAAAAAAGGATGATAGAGATTTGTATCTTTACGGGATGACCAGATTTCAGTCACTGTTTGACCACTACCACCAAAAAATGAACCAGGAATTTTCATTTTTCTCTCTCCACCTTGAGCTCAGTAACAAAAATTCGAAATTAGACTTGTAAATGAGAGCAAAATTCATCCTTTTTAATTTCAAGGACGGAATACCTATAGTGCTTGCTATAGAAAAAGTGAAGAATTTGTAGGTGGACTACGCCCTTTGAAATCAATGAGACAGAATTACTGTTTGATTTTAATGTATGGCCAAGGCTTAGATAACCTGCAGTCTCTCAAAACCATGGGCATTTGAAAATAAATCCTTAGATAACGCATATTTCAGATAACCCATGGGAAAAACAGAGGCAGAGATGGGGAGGCTGTGGGAGAAGGGCAGCAGCCTTCGTGGGAATCACGGCAGGACACTGTGAAGATAAAGACTTTGCCTTTTTTATACCTGCTTACTGAGAAATTGTACAATCAGCTAATAAATTTTAATGCCATTTGATCAACTGCAGTTCTCTGACCACTTCACCCCAATTTTGCTTATTGATTTCATGTGCACTCAACTGCTTCAGAAGAGCACCAATTCTCTGCATTCCCAGTTTTGCTGAAAATGACCCCAAATTATCTTGGCTTCTGCACATCTGAGACAAAGCTAAAGATTAGGTCTATCACACAACAGACATTACCTAGCTAGTAGGTTGTGAAAAACATTTTTTTTGTAGTAGTAGTTGGGCATAATCTGACATAGCTTTATATATGCTAGAAAGCGCTACTGGTGTTTTCTGAATTTCATATAAGTTAAAATCCATTTGCTACCTGCAGGTGGGTTGCTCATGGCTGACAGCCCCCTGCTTGCCTTTGCACCTGGAGAACATCAGGCCTGATGGTTGAAAAAACCAAAAAAGCTGAGCTCAGAGCTGGTTCTGCTCTGAGCAGAGGTTGGACTGGATACCTCCTGAGGTTTCTTCCAACCTGGACTGTTCTGTGACCATTTGAATCCATATAATGGAGCCCTGTTTATAGGCTCCAGGAACAAGGAGCCAGGTTGTAGGCGGTATTGCTGAGAATAAGAAATGCAGCTGTGAACTTTTTTCCTGCCCTATGTTTAAATTCTCATCAAAAATGATGGATCATTTCAGCTTTTTTTTTTTCCCACATCACCCAGATATATTCATATACATGCACATCTGTATATATAGAAACAGGGAGTATCTGAGCATTTTCCTCTGTGTTTTTATCCACTAAATATATGTTTTATAATCCTCAGTGTTTTGCAAGGCTACAGGGTAATGTGCTGCATTCAGTAGTTACTCTTGCTCAGGAAATGCACAACAGTCACAAATGCTGCACAGATTGGTTGCTGGGTAAACTGTGGCTCATT